CCACGTGGTCGACGTGACGCTCCTGTGGAAGCGACTCCTCGTCAACGAATGGGTCGTCCCGCGCGTTGATGGCCATGTAGGGGGTGCGGATGAAGGGCAGGTGCGGCTTGGACGCCGATTTAATGTAGTAGTCCTTCTCGTCAGCATAGCCGAAGATGGGGGCGATGAAGTGGCGATCGAACTCGCCGATGGTCTTGGCCTCGCGGACGCCATCGAGGTTGAACGACCCAGGGAACCTGACAGGCACAAGAAACCCCATGGATGCCTGCGCCCATTTTGTGTGCGAGAGGCCGTTTGTCTCACCTCTGATGGTGAGTCTCGGCCTTCACTTTGAGGGTGCGAAGAAAATTCCCAGTGTAGACCAGACGCGAGAAGCCAGGGGAGTCGATCTTGGGCTGGGCTGCCAGTGGATCGAACGGCACGCAGGCCACCGCCGCGCCCCTGACGCCTTTCTCCGCATAGGCCTCCTCTCCCATGGAACCAAGCCACTTGGTGATCACGTTGCCGCCAAGCGAGAAGCCGGCGAGAAACAGTGGCCGCGAGGGGGCGATGTGACGGAACCGCTCGACGAGGAACTGCAGATCTTCTGTGAAGCCAACATTGTATGCGCGGACCTAAACACAAGGCATCAGGCGAGAGTGGTCAGAATGTGTGTATGTGCAAACGGTTTCTCGCGTCAGGACTGCTCACCGTCTTCGGCAACTCGCCGGAGCAAGATCTGAAGTTGACCAGACAAACGTCGAAGTTCCTCGCGTGGAAGGCCCTGGCCATCTTGAGACAGAGAGGGCTCCTCGAGTTGCTTTCCAGGCCATGCAGCACCAGCACAAGCGGGTGGTTCGTCGACGGCTTCTCGACACGCCCCTCCGCCACACACCGGTGCAGCTCATGGGCACGGTCACCATCCCAGTAGTAGAAGTCCATGTCGATGAAATCGCCGTCCGGCGTGTCCACACGCACTCGAATAAGGTCGTCGATGAAGTGCCACTGGCTGTGCCGACCGAACAGCCGGGTGCGGACGGATTCTGAGCCGAAGATGGTCTGGATGTGCTGGTTCCGCGCCCATAGTGGAGGGATATAGGGCACTGGCTCGAAGGACTTGGCCACTGCGACGCGTTGGGAGAGCGGGAGGGAGGGGAGGGCGGCAGAAGAGGCCTGACAGGGAACACACAAACAGACATAGATGACACGCTCGTCTCACTCCTCGTCCGAGTGCTGTCCTTACCTCTGCAGCTGTGGGTGGGAGGTTGTCTTGCCTCACTTGCTGAGGGAGCAAGGCATCGCAGGCGCCAAACACCGGGTCAACAGACAACAGAGAAGCAGTACAAGAGCAGCCCAAGCCGCAGATCAGTCACCACACGAAGCCATACACGCGCATCCACAGCACCAGCATGAACGAGCACACCGTCCCCCCCTCACCACCAACCCACCCACCTGTGTCATTGCAGATCTTGTGCTCATCCAGATCTTCAGACTTCCCCTGGGATGAGCTGCTGGCGAGGAGATGAACTTGAAGGAAACAACAAGACGTGACGCCTGTGCCGTCAAGATGGATGTAAGGCAAACCAAAAGGAGGGGAAGCATGGAAGGGGCCGAGGGAGAGAGCCCCAGTGAAGCAAAGCTAGCAACTCAAGCTCGCAATCCGTATTTGGCCAGGACAATCAGAGGGCGAGTTTTTCCGCGTTTGTCGCTCTCCGTCCGTCCAGGGAAAGATCTTTCGGCAGCTGAGTGCGCACTCCGTTCGCAGACCCCTAGCGATGATGATGGGTCGTTCCGGCCTTGCCGTGTTGGTTGGCCTGGCTGCCCTCCTGCAGCCTCTCCTCGCCCATGGCCGACGTAAGCCGCACCACGGTACACCACCAGCACCTCCACACACCGAATGGACCTCACATCGTGGCAGATCTGTCCATATTGGTGTGGTTTTCTGCTGTTGTTGCGATATGGCCTTTGGGTAGCTGATCTATGGCTGCAGAGATGTCGGCGGAAGCCGAAACTCTTGGGCAAGGTAGGCAGACAGCCGATCCATCCATCCATCCATCCATCCATCCATCCATCCATCCGTCGGATGTGTGTGTGTGTGTTTTGTGTGCAGGGGGGGAGATGGCGGCGTTTCA